TGTGCATTCTTTTGGAGCGCTTCATTCATTATCACTTGAAGCCCTTCGTTTTTCTTCTCCATGTTCTGGAGCCTGGACTGTATCTCTTGGTCTTGTTCTTGAAGCTTGCACTGCAGGTCTTCGTATTCAGCTTCATGCTCTTCATTTCTCTCTGCTTCTCCACTTGAGTTTTCTCCTCTTTCAGCTGGGTACACATTCAAATGTTACTGTCAACAGCTATGTAATTATTAGGATGACCTATTGTAGTTTCTACGAACAATTCAAAACAAATTTTCACAAATTACAATATAGTTGTAGTTGAAAACTGAGCCAAAGCCTTAATCATGTTGAGCAGAACTATTTACAGCAAAACAGACAAGCAGAGAAACATACACAGAATTGTTTAAGCCCTTCAGAATGAAAAATCAGACTGCCACTCCTTACATCTGGACAAAATGCAAACTGTTGACAGACTGTTGACAGACTCGCTTTTATACCCTCCCATTATTGTGCAGAATCAACTCACTCACTCAGGTACCCAAAGGACAGATTTGAAGTCTGTCACTGCCATGTAATGACAGCCATCCTGTTCAAGCCATATGTGGAATATTATGAATGCTGTTAAATGTTAGCAATTATTAATATGTTCTATGTCAAATCATCAATGTGACAAAGTGGGTGAGAAGACCATTTGTCTACATTCTTAGTTAACATTCTTGTTTTGATTTAACCATATTTCACATGTAATCTGCAATAGGCAAACATCTACTATCCCGGGTTTGTTTATGTTCTGCACTTTTACAGATTATATAATATAACATCTTGGTTTAAATCAATTCATGCAAGTTTGTTAAGTTAACATGTTATTTATTTCAACTGTTAATTTGTATTGTTTGAACTTACCTTTACCTACCTGTCTTCCAGAAGCAAAAGGAGGAAATGTAGTTCTACTTCCTGCTTTATACCTTCTGGGTTCATCTGAGGTCACAGGAAGAGACCAAGGGCAGGAGGGGAAGAATTCTTATAATTTAATAAAGTTGATTTTAAAGGGTTTATAAAGAAATAGATTTAATGTTGTGATATGTATTGATTACACCAGAGTTTATGTTGCCAGTCAAGAGGAGTAGTAGAGGATGAATATAATCATGTTCATCTCACCTACCTACTGAATGGAATAGTCCAGAGGAGAAAGTGTTTGATTAAGGGGACTATTTAAGCAGACGAACTCAGGTGTTTCAGAAGAAGGGTTCAGGTCAGTGTAGCTGTGTGCAGTTTGACCTTAATTTCCGTTGATTTAAGTTCAGTTATGTTTATTTGAATTGAGTTTATTATAGAGTTGAGTTTCTTATTTGTTTCTTTGTAAATATTCTTGGGCCACAGAATGGTGAATAAATCACTTGCTACACTGGACAGCATCAGTCTCCTGCACTTCTTTGACCGCTTAAGTCGAGTCCTACCACAATCAAACAATGAATTTGGGCAAAACAGAATCTATCTTGGCTTCATAAATTTGTTGCATTTCTTTAACCATGTTCTCCAGGTGTTGTTTTTCCTTTATACAATGCTGAAATGCTCTTCTGAAGGCTTCATCCCACTGAGGAGTGCTGGAGTCATCTCTTTGTCTTAGGTTCTGTTTCTTCTCAGAAATTTTGGTACCTTGAAACAATGCTTGAAACAAAACTCCTTCAAATGTCTTCAAAAATATACAGACACTTATTCCAGTGTTAATAAAAACTTGACGTATACCTTGTGGCATCATGTCTTAGAACTGTCAAATCTCTTCCTATTGAATTTCTTGACTCGTTCAAATGGCACATAAATTTGTGCGTTTAGTTCCTCAGTAAGGCATGAAAATTTGGGATGTTAATCGTGACTCGTTACTTTGACGTGGAAGTTACTTTTTCTATCACCTGAATATTTACCACTTCTATATTTAACAACATTTTACAACTGCTAATATAATTGTGAAATTTTTGAACCTTCACAACTGAACTGTGTCATGAAATTACCTCTTCATCTTCTTTTTGTGAAGATTTTTCTTGCAACCATATTTCTCTTGAAATATGCCTTTAAATTACAATACAATCAATCTTTTTTTAAATTTATTAGTTTTCAAAAGAAAAAAAGAAAAATGTTCATTCTACCTTACTTGTATGCTTTAGTAAACAAGAAGCAAATTCAGGTCAGCGCCTTCGAACAATGAGGCCGCTGTGTTGTATCATGGAAACGTCGATGCAGTTTGTGGTCTGTTTATTGATTCCACTGATAGCTCCACTGATATCTTTGGAGAAAGTGGGTCAGCCATAGATGCTGAAAGAACAGGGAACTGTGCAAAAGGCACTGAAACAAAGTGAGTTGGTGAGACAGGCTGAATGTCAAATAAATGTGTTACAATGCAGTAGTCAATGAGTAGCCATGTAAAATACAAAAACAGCTCAGTGTTCTTATGAGATCATTTCTCATCCCTGAGCAAGGGTATTTATTTGGCTCACAGTGATCAGGTGCATGCAGACAGGTGATAAATGTGAGTAATTTACATAGATAAATGCACAGAACACAGAGGATTTTCAGCAGCTCTCTCCAGCTCATTTCCATATGTGTGGGTTCAACCTCTGAGACCTGGTCTCACTTAAAAGAAAGTGCTTTCCTGACCACCTGGACAACATACCAGACAGTCCTTAGTGGGTCACTTAAAAATGCAATGCACAGATGCAAAACACCTGGTACAGTCTGGGCCATTGGGTATCCGGTCTTTAAGTGACGACGTGATAAACCGGGGTCCAAACTACTCTGCGTTTTTATTACCACTATTCATTTTAAAGCTCAGTATATTATTTGAAAGTCCCAATGCAGCTTTCTTTAACAAAACAGACTGTACCGTCATGTCAAACACAGCAGGCAATGAGCAAGAACAGCTAATAAAGTTAGCACAGAATCTTGTTCATTTATTAGCTCCAGTCATTTAAAAGAACATGTCACAATCTTGTACAGATTCACAAATACCCTACCTCGAATTTCCCAGAGGAACCCACCCGAGGGATTAATAAAGTTCTATCTTACCTAATCTCTGTTCTAGGACGCCCTCTGGACCCAGTTCAAATGCTCTCTACAGAAAAGGGCAGAGTTTTGGGTCCATAATTATTTTCTTTTTACATGTTTCCTTTAGCTGGCATTATGCAATCTTTTAGTGACATTTCTTAGCATTTCTATGCTGATGACATTCAACTGCATATGTCCTTTAACCTCCTATGACCCGAACTCTTCCATTACATGCATTTTTAATTTCTCTTTGATATTTGGGCCGATTGGGACCTGATGAATGTAAAAACAAAGAATTACCAGATCTTTTTTTTTTTACCTAATTTTTGTTTCTAAGAAAAATGAGAGCCACATATGAGGATATTCGTTTAAAATTTCGATAGAACAGTGGCAGTATAATGTCCTCGTAAGTGGATATCAGGCCCCCGTAGAGCAAAGTTTAGTATTTTGGTCTAAATAACCCAAAATGTGATGTCCATATATGTGGACGCCAGGTCCTAGGAGGTTAAGCCTCATCAGATGGATAGGCTGTCCACCCTAGTCCAGTGCTTAACTCAGGTTTCTGATTGGCTTTCTAGCAACTAACTTGTTTTAAACACGAACAAGACAGAGACCATGATCATAACTCCTCCTGAGCTACACTCTAAAATCAGTCAGGTTCTTGCTTCTTACTGTCCTTCTGCTAAGTCAAATATTCGAAATCTTGGAGTAACATTTGATTCTTCTCTGGGCCTTGACTTACATGTAAAATCTTTGTCTCGTTCCTGTTTCTTTCGTTTAAGGAACATTTCTAAACTACTACATACGGTCTCCTTAGGTGAACTGGAAACAATTGTTCATGCATTTGTGTCATCCCGTTTAGATTATTGTAGTGCTCTGTTACCAGCTTTGACAAATCATCTCTTTCTTGCCTCCAAGCTTTACAAAATGCAGGAGCCAGACTAGTAACTCGTTCTAGCAAGCAAGCTCACATTACTCCAATTTTATATTCTTTACATTGACTCCCAATTGATTTTAGAATTTATTTTAAAATTCTTGTTTTTTGACATACAGAGCACTAAATGGCCAGGCCCCAGGTTATTTATCCAAGCTTATACAATGCCAAATACAAATACACCACTGCTCGTTGTCTCCACTCACAGATAGTTTGTTGGTTGTACCCCGTATACGACTGAAGACAAAAGTGGACAGAACCTTTCAGTCTGTGGCCCCAAGGCTGTGGAACACTCTACCAATACAACTACGTTTGGTTAACTCTGTGGAATCCTTTAAAAAGCAGTTAAAAACTTTTCTGTTTAAACAAGTCTTCTGTTGATCAGCACTTTTTAATTTTTTTAAATTTACATTTAACCTTTTATATTGCGTATATTGTCTGTTTTGTTACTTAACATTCTGTTTATTTGAATCTTTGTGTACAGCACTTTGTGACTTTCTATGAAAAGCGCTTAATAAATAAAATTTACTTACTTACTTAAGCACTCGCATACACATTCCAGAGAAATCAAAACAGAGACACAGAGAGCAAGATTAAAGAAAAAAGAAAAGCAAAAAAAAATCTGCGCTAGAGGCATGTAGACCATGACAGACGTACTTTTAGCTGAAGCTCATGATAAGGAAATGACCATAATCCAAGCATGATGTAATGAATCCATGGATGACTTTTTTAAGGTCTGCTTGAGATCAAAATAATAATAATAATAATAAAAATAATTTTTGTAACATTTCTTAGCTGGGACAAACAGTTTTTAAATCAAACCAAAATTTAGAGTTCAAGGGTCAATATTTAAAAATAAACCTATACAATAAGCTTTAAACAAAGAATCATGTTTGACTTGACCCAGAAATATTTTTAAGGAGAAAAGATTTCTTCATCTTTTCAGAAAGTGCTGAACGTTGAAGTGACATAAAACGCTGAATGACACTGACTGATATAGAAACACATCATATTATTTTGATATGATGTTGTATTTATTAATGATTACTGCTGCTCCTCCTTCTTTTCGTGTCCCTCCTGCAGCTCTGTCTTCTCATGTGTCCTGCTTGTTCTTGTGTTCCTGCTGCTCCTATCGGTACTACTGCATCTCCAGCCGCTCCTGACACATTTCCTGCTGCTCCTGCTCCTCCTTCTGTTTCTGTCGCTCCTGCAGCTCCTGCTACTTCTGCCGCTTTTCCTACTCTTCTCGTCATTTCTCCTGCTCCTCTTTGTGTTCCTGCTGCTCCTATTGTTTCGACCGTGCGTCCTGATGCTCATGCTCCTCCTGGTCCTCCTTCTTTTTCTGTCACTTTTATGGCTCCAGCTTCTCCTACCACTTCTCCTGCTCCTGTTGATGCTGTTCCAAACGCACCTGCTACTCTTACCATTATTGTTACTCTTACAGCTCCGGTAACTGAATCTGAAATCTGGTAACTGAATTAAATGCCTATATCATAACAATTCAAGAATAATTTCATTCATACACACACAGACACACAAAGACAGACGCACACACAAATATATATTTTAAATCTTTTGTAAATTTGCACCAAAGCCAATTCTATCTATTGTCTTGCAAATGTCTTCCATAAATTGTAATCAAGAATTCTTTGCCTTTAATATCTTTCATATCTCAGCCTCTAACCATGGCCTAATTTATTAGTGATAAATAACGTTTGAATAACAGCTAATTATTTACTTTTCTGTTGAAAGCATTTCACACTAAGTAGCAAGCAGGTACCTTAGAACAGCAACACATCTACAGGTCCACACTGTGTTTAGAAAAGTTTAACATTAACGTTGACACTGACTGTCAGCTTTACATGTCCACTTTATCATCTGTCACTTTCTGAGCAGTCCTTACCTTAGAAAATAATCTCTTCTTCCTTTTCTGTCCTCTGTTTTTCTCCACTGCAATCCAGAGCAATTGTGTATGCATCTTCCCAGCATCCTACAAAAATGTTTCATTCTGTTAATACTATGACAACATTCATTTGAATTAAAAGTATTCAAGGGCCTTTGGCACATTAGCAACAATCAACCTGGTTTCTATATTTCAAAATTTCATGTTTTTGTAAAATAACAAATTTTCCCCAGTCTCCAGGAGCCTCTGAAATGGCACAAGTCTCAATTTTTTTCAGGAAAGAGAAGCATTAAAGTGCCAGTGTGTGTTTTTTTTTACTGATGGATGACACAAATTCAAGTGTGCTTTCAAGCATAAAATACAATTAAAACAAACACACACTCACACACACATGTACACATAGATGCATAGTTTCTGTAGCTAAATAACAAACAACACCAGATCCTAAGATACAAACATTTTCATGTCTCTGTTATAGGGTGTTGACTTTGTCTAGAGGCAGGCTGCAAAATGTTTAAACATGGTTGGTGTAAGAATGGGCTGTAAGAAAGTACTTGCTTTGTTATACCACACCAAAAGAATTACAAATACCCATGTACAATGCCATTGTCTCCTAAACCCAGTTAGACAAAATAAATAAGGAGGGATGCCAATCTGGAACAGTCTTTTATCTCCATGATCAGTGACAGGAGCATTTCTTTACTTCAGTAAAATTATTACAAATCCAGTAAGATAATATGCTACTACAGAGCAAAAACTTACTGAAGTAATATATATATAATTCAATTTTCTTTTGTAACAGCAACAGAAGTACAAGTCCACACTGCTTTTAGAAAAGTTTAACATTAACGTCACTGCCTTCTCACCTTTACGTTTCCACTTTATCATCTCTCACTTGCTGAGCAGTCCTTACCTTAGAAAATAATCTCTTTTTCCTTTTCTGTCCTCTGTTTTTATCCACTGCAAGCCACGGCAATTGTGTGTGCATCTCGCCAGCATCTTACAAAATGTTTTATGCCATTAATGCTATGACAACATTCTAAAGGCACCTGACACATTTACTAAGCTCCACCCCTGGTTACGATTGAGTAGCAATCCGGTTGTTCAGTCTGACGTCACTAGCCGTGTCTGGGTCTAAACTCCGCTGCAGGTCCATATATCCAACGATCACTATGGCATTACTGAGAGTTGGAAAAACAGTCTAAAGTCTTTCATCTTTAATAGAATGATCAGCGTTCTGCTCTACCAGGTGTAACAATTGAGTTTAACATCCAGGCATCCATGAAAATGGAATTTATGACATTTAACGGAGTTAGAAGTTAGCAGGAAGTTAGCTCGCTAGCTTCTATCTAAATACAATATAGCATGTCCTGACTGCGGGGTTTTGGAAACAAATTAAAACGTACATCTCTGTTATCACTTCCAACATAAATGAAGACAGAAAACGAAACAGCAGTGACGTTTGTAGGGTTACTGAAGTTTGGCTAGCTGGTATATAATGATGTGCTACGTGACCGCTAGCGACACAGCTATGCTAGCATAATATGAACAAGCTAACTTTTTTTCCACTCGATAAAAGTTAACGTGAGTGTTTTCGGTGGTCAGGAACAAATGTAATCGCATGGCAGGGTGCTGTAAAAGGACAAAACTTCAGCCAGGAGAACAACTGAGATAATCCATCCACAATACGAGGTTAGTCATTCATATACTGCTGCATGGGCTGGGCTGTAGTTACATCCTAACGTTTTAAAAACTGAGCTTAAATAAATGATTAGCGGTAATAAAAGCCGAGGGAGGTCAGCAGTGATCACTGACTGTTTTAGGAGCTTTTTGAGATCAAATATAAGAAAATACAAAACATTAAACATGTTAACAACACAAAATCCATATTGAACGCAGACTACTTTAGGCCCGGAAGTAGGATTCGTCACGTCATCACTGAACAACCGGATTCGGTCTTTAAGTGATGACGTGATAAACTTGCGTCCAAACTAAGGCTGTTGTTAGTTAAATGATTTTAAACTTGTTCTATTTAATCTGAACAAGCCTCTGAGAGATGCAGTAGTCACTGTCGGTTTTTCTGGGTTTTTATTACCACTATTCATTTTATAGCTCCGTTTTTAAAACCTTACGATGTAGCCCTTGCAGCAATAAATGAATGACTAACCTCGTATTCTGGATGTATTATCCAAGTTGTTCTCCTGACTGAAGTTTGGTCCGTTTACAGCACCCTGCCCTGCAATGGCATTTGTTCCTAACCATCGGGAACCCTCACGTTAACTTTTATCGAGTGTAAGAAAGTTAGCCATACTCCAGCTTTACTGTGCTAATGTGTTTATATTATGCTAACCGTAGCTGTGTAGCTAGCCACCACCTAACACACACAGCCAGCTGTATCCAGCTGTATCCAGTAACCATACAAACCTCATTACTGTTTAATTTTCTGATTTCATTTATGTCAGAAACATAGAAATCCCTCAGTCAGAACATGGTGTGTGTGTTTGCAAACAGCTGAGCCAACGGCTTAATCTGCTCTGTTACAATTACACCTAGCATCTTTTTTTTAAGCAGATGCAACACACCTTTCACCAAAAAGTAACACCTCATAAAAATTCGAGAAGCCATAAATCTGCGATGAAAGCAGACCAAGGAAGGATATGATAAACTTGCTTTTCCTTTGAGGATTACACTGCCACATGTCCAATAAAAAAACATGCCAGCTTAGTAACTGATCTGATCACAGCTAGTATCTTAATTTTTGCTAACAAGCAGAATAAAAAACTAAAATCTGCAACCATATTTTACATGTTTAAAAAAACATAGTTTATATAGTAATCAATCTGTTATGAAAAAAGATTATTTGGAGCCATTTTTGGCTTCTTGGTGTGTTTATGTATGCACACTAGTCTCTGCTTTTGAGCTCACTGTTTGTGTGTACCATCTCCTGGGGCAAATATCTGTCTCTTTCGCTGCTAAAAGCCCCATTACGTTCACTAACTATGCGATAATTCTGTCTGCCAGCTGTTTGGTGATAAGTAGGTAGTGCACAGGTACAATGGAGTGGTGAGAGTGGGCCCATCAAAAACACTGACCTGGCAGAGCTTATGGCAGTTGATTCCTTCCTCTGAATATCCCCATAATTGCTGAAAGCAGCCACATACAATATGACGCATATGGCATTTTCATGCTTTTTACATTTCGTGTCACTGCAATAAGCTGTAAGCTCTGTGGCTTTGAGGCTCAGATGGGCATGCAATATAATGCCAGGTATCAGTGGTATCACTGGGAACACTGTAGAGGTAAATTCACACTTTACTTTAACTTTAATTATACAGTGGTTTCTACAGGATGCTGCAGTGGCACACATTAAACTTTAAAAGCCTCGGTGCTGTGCTACCCTATCATACACTGTATCAAAATTACTGTCTAAAACATTTAATAATTACAGCAGGATTTCTTCCTGTTCCTTATGTGGTACTTTCTCGGATGACATCACTTTGAAAGCAGTTGACACATGCAGCTTCTTCTGTGACTCAGCCCTCGTGACGTACATTTCAGCTCAGTATGCGTGTAATTAAAGTTTGTGATGTTTGTATTGTTTCCCTGGAAAGAAATCACAGCAAGCGCTGACTTGAGGGATTTCAAAAACACCGCTCTCATAGTGGCCTCATTCTTTCTCTCCAAGCGATTACGCTGCTTGATTCACTGCTTTGTATAGGGGCACCTCTGTTTTACAGGTCATGTGGCAGAGGTCAGAGTCTGCACTTGGATCAACTTAGTACTGCAGGGTGATCTGTTCGGTTCTGAGGCTCATGCTCAGTGGCAGAAACCAACCCAGAAGGGCAATTTCCACTTGGATTTCCTAAAAGAAGTCTATAAAATAGCGTAAAAATATGTGGTGTACTGGGTTATGTTTTGTGTTGTGAGCAGTGCTGTGAGAAACTGCAAGATGCTCTAGGCCCCATGGAGATGAAAGAGCTCCTGCCCTCTTCCTGTGCATGTGGCCAGGACATTCTGCTTTGAAACATCCCGATAAAACAAAATATCACCATGGTGTCTTTGAGAGATTTTGTTGTGCTAGACAGAGGGACACCAGGGGGGCTATGGACACAGTATGTTGACTTAATCATGATAAACAGGCGGACATGACATATACCAACAGTAACAGTTTCGCTTCTGTAGCTCTCAGGGATGTGCTTTGATTGGATTGGAATCATCCTGTTACACATCTGTAAACGTTCCCTTGGTATGTTTTGCTGAAAACACGCAATGATAGATGAGCTGGAACTTATATAGAGTATTCAAAGTGCCTTTAACTACAAACCACACACACACAGTGCTTTTATTCTGCACCTTATAAGTACTTTCTAACTAGATGCATCAAGGGCAATTGGCAGAATACAGGAGCCAAGGACTGAACCACTAAATTTCTGATTGGTAGATAACTGGCTCTACTTCACTGCCTTTAGATCTGTGGCTAATACTGAAGCACTTTGTTTTAATTGTGTGCCTAACTCCTTCAGCACCTGGCAAAGCAAATCATATTCAAAAGGCATTTGATTACTTTAATCTTTACACATTCTTACTACATTACACATGGACGAATGTTTGTTTTTGATCCATATTTAATACTCTTAGGTGAGCTTATTTTATCAAGCAGAAGATTTGATGACCAGCCCATCTAAACCATCACTTTTGCTCTGATCAAGGGAGTGTGATTATGGTTTGATTTGTATTACTCTTTGATCAAGACTGAAATATTTCAAACTAATGAATGAGCATAAATTGCCTGGTTTTTCCTTTTGTGCCATTATAAGGTAGACTTTACTAGTTTTGTGAGCTTTCAATCGTTCATCAAACTAATGCTTTGTGTTTACACTAATTATTAAACTTAACATGCTACTAACCTAAAACTAATTTGAAACTGGAGATCCTGCTAAACATTAGCGCTGGACTAATCCAGACAGTGAGAGATGTAAATCAGCCTGTTGTCAAATTGCTTCACACTGAATCTGACCGGAATCTGAGGTGGAGCTGAACGTCACTCTTGTTCTCACTTGAATGTCCCAAGGGAAGGGCAAAGATGAGATAAAGCCAGAGAGGATAAGGAGAGTGTGAAAGGCAGAGTGACAGAGTATTATTCCTGTGAAAATGCTCAGTCCTTAACGGACTTGCACTTTTCATCAAGCGTTTTGGCTGCATATGAACTGAAGGAATGCCCCGCAGGGCAGCCTGCAACTCAACCTGACAGTGTACTGCTCCACCTCCCCCTCGCTGCACCAGGTCTACGTCTTAACATGTCCACCTCAGTCCAATTTAAGTCCTGAGCATCATCTCCGAGGGATATTTCTACAGAGCAAAAATAAAACACACCTCTCATTCCTTACAGATGTGGCCAAAATTAAGCTTTTCCACAAATCTTATGTTCGGTCTGGGAGTCATCTGGACGCAAGACTGAAAACTGTCCGTTTTAGTGATGTGTGGACAAACTGATGTCAAGTTCAATACAGCTGCACCAGTTCTGTGAAGTCAAAGTGAAGGGGGTTGGCTCCTGAGATTAATGGCTTTGCAGGACATGTGCAGGCATTAGTGATGGGTCGTTCGCGAACGAAATGGCTCTTAGAGCCGACTCTTTGACGTGAACGACGCGAGCCGGCTCCTTATCGCGAGCCGTCACGTGGGTTTTTTTTTTTTTTCCTTTCTCTCAGCCTCTCTCTCGCACTTTTTTTCCGCTTCACTCTGCACGCGAGCCTTGTGCTTTACGCTGGGCAGAGGGGGGAGGGGCGGTAGTTACACTCAGTAGCACAGGAACAGAGCCAGAGAGAGAGAAAGAGAGGCAGGGACAACAACATTAGAAAGGTATAGTAATCATCCACAACTATTTTCGGTTGCAGATGATAAAGGATTGAGAAAGTTTATTCATGCAGGTCCATATGACAGAGAATATGCATGTTCTTTTAGTTTTCATATTATAATTTATATTTAATTGTGTTGTGGTTTG